TTCTTCTGCCCCCTCTTTCCTATAGTAACCCCCCCCCCCCCCCACATCCCCCACCCCTCTGTCCTTTGTGGATAGTTAGCAACAAAATTAATAGTATAAAAAGGAGAAAAATTTTCTTTTAGGGAAGCTAAATAAACAGATTAGTTAACGGGGTTAAAGTTTTTAAAGATATCAACAAGCTATGGCTAAGTAATTTTCGTGTTCATCAGTCCATTGTGGTCATGGGTTTTCCAAAGGAGTCTGGTGAGTGGAGAAATAGGTGGTGGAGTCCGCTAGTGAATATTTTCAAGTGATCTGGTTTTGCTTTGTGGTGGTCGGCAGTGAAATACTTTCATCGTTGTAGTCCTTTGTTTCTGGTGATGGTACACTGCTCGCTGGTTGTTGCCCCTTTTTGTGTCTCTGTAAATTCTAAGATTATAATGGTAATCTGAATTTTACCTGAAATAGTGAGAGTAAGGAGATGAAGCAAGATAATTTTTTTTAAATCAAAATTGAAGAGTTTTATGTATATGAATTGGGGTTTAAGATTGTGCTCAGAAAGGAGCAAAATGAGCAAAACGGTGGAGGCGACTCCGATTTTCCAGTTGTTTCCCACTGATAAGGGTTGTCGACAACATAGGAAGACGGGGAAGGATTTGAAATATTATTAAAAATTAATTTTTAAATTAATAAAGATGTGGCATTGATTTATCTGATGCGGACATGATATTTTCTCCACGTCACGCGAGTGACCAACACGTAATGCTGAAGGGGTTTAAAATACATGTTTTGATTGAGTTCAGGTGTCTTGATGAAACTTCAATGAATACAGGAACCGGAATGACAAAGTGGCACAAGTATAGATGCAATTTAGGCTATTCTGCCGTTAAATTATAAACATAATAAACATTCTTTCCCGGTTAGAGATTTTCCACAAGGGTCCAGCTGATATCAATATGAAATGAATGAACTTATATCTAACTTATCCTCTATGAGTGAGATGTACTACTCCAAGCCAGATTCCCACGTTCTTATCTTCTTCATTAAGATGTATACCTTTATATACCGTAGATATAACTTAAGGCACTTTCAGCCATATATTACTTTTAAGCTAGTGACATTGACACAATACTTTCCATTACTCGATCTTGTGGGGCTTTAAATAGTGAGTGGAAAGTGTCCTACAAAACACAAAGAGAACGAAAGCTAGTTTAAAAGAAGAAAAAAACCTCGATCCAATGGATGTCCTTGAATTTTCTCTTTCTCTATAGATTATTATCATGTGTTTCACTTATTCTACATGGTGGCACCTTACAAAAAGATGGTGCAAAAGCTCAGCATCAACAAATTGGCCTCTCGTTGGAATGTTACCTGGGCTTATTCGAAATGCTCATCGTGTCCATGGTTTTGCAACTTCTATTCTTGTAGAAACTGGGGGCACATTTGAGTTCTATGATCCTGTGCTTACCAATTTAAATATGTTAATTACTAGTGATCCTGCAAATATCCACCACGTCCTTAGTAAAAATTTCTCAAACTATACAAAGGGTCTTGAATTCCAAAAAATATTCGATATTTTAGGAAATGGAATCTTCAATGTTGATTCCGAATTATGGGAGATTCATAGGAAGACCACCATGTCTTTAATGAGCCATGCCAAGTTCCAAACATTGTTAGAGAGCAACATGTGGGATACTATTGAGAAAGGGCTCCGGCCAATTCTTGATACTTTTGCAGAACAAGGCACACCGTTTGATTTGCAAGATATTTTTCAAAGATTCACTTTTGATGCTGTCGCGCCACCTTTTTCCTCGCGGAGTCCGGGTTTCGACATTCATGGGGAAACAACTCATTTTCTTTTGGGAATTGCGTATTTGAATTTGAAGAGTCGCCACCTAACGGATTAAGGTGCCTTAGGGCACATAGAGCAATTAACTCATATAACTAGTTTGCATTACCAGAGATTAGGGTAAGGGCTCGAAATAACCTTGAGGGGAAGGTGTTAGGCACCCCTTGCGGTCCACAACCGTGGGTCTTGGCCGAACTCAATTATGTGAATTAGTCATTTAACAGATAGGCAGTCTAAGCACCCATTTCCAAGCAAAGGAAGTTTGACATATGTAAATAAAGGAAGTTTAACAGATAGGTAGTCTATACACACATATGTAAATAAGGTGAGGCAAGTCCTAGGTTTGTTGGCCTATAGGATCACATCTGTACAATACCCGGCAAGCCTTCCTCAAATAGAGGGGTTACACGTGGCATTAACGCACATGTCATCATATCCTTTACTACCCAGTTACCCTACCCTTAGCAGTTATATAAGCGGTTTTAATTAACGAACTCTAAGCGTGCTTTACCCGTCCCTTCCTTGTGGATCTGTAGGTGTTTAGGACCTCTAATCTTAGGTAGTTCTAGACCCTCCTAAGGTGGTTAAAAGGGAAAGTCTAAGCGACAACAAAGAACATATATGACTGTCAAATAAGAAAATAATTAAGGGGGCTCATGTTTACCTCCACACATAAACAGATAATTAGCACGTCTCAAACAACAGATTTCAAAGAATTTCAGAAAGGTCCTAGAACAGGATATCTAGGTGAGCACGACAAACAGAGAATATGCAGCATTGTTTTAGAGCGAAGTAGCATAAACCTGATCAGTTTGCCTACTGATTTTAGCACCTGTTGAATCTGGGCAGTTCACGAATAAGCATAGCACAATTTTTACAGTTTTTTGTAAAACCTTGATTACCTATAGGCTCGCCCAGGCGTGGAGCTGTAATGCCCTATAAAATGCTGTATAAAAAAACGCAAACAGAATTCTCGAAATTGATTAAAGGAAAGCAAACAATTTGGATTTTAATACGTCCTAGAAACATGCTTGTCTAGGTGCTGGCCATCACAAAACTGATTTCATACATATTTACCCTATAACATGGTGTCTATGTGTTGGGGTTGTTTTTAAACATCTTTATAGACGAGATGGTTACTGATTTAGGCGATATAGACGTGATTTAAAGCGAATGCAAATACAGTCCTAAAGCAGGATTTCTAATGCACATAGAGAATGGTCCTTTTATTAGGCAGAATTATAACAGGATTTCTAAGTGATTATGCAGAAGTAGAATGAAGTGATGAGCATGTAACAGGCTTTCTAGTATGCAAAAAATAGTAAACATGACAATCCTAAGGCATGATTTCTAATGCAAGTAACATAACAGTCCTATGGCATGGTTTCTAATACCAATAGCCATAGCAAACCTAAAGGCATGATTTCTACCCGGTTTTTCTCACAAAAATCATATAGGAATCCCTCCCCTTTTACTAAATTCCCCAATATCTGTTTACAAAGGTAATTATTACAGACCAGAAATGAATGAATTACATAATGAATATAAGCTATGCTATAGCAGGCCTCAAATAGGTCCAAAGTGAGCCTGGGAATACCAGGCCTTCAAAATAGACCAAGATGCCCTAGTATCCAATGGGGTATCCTGGTGCATCAAAGTTCCCTAAGGACCTCAGGGATCCCGGGCAATGCTAACACCAAGACCCTTTCTTAAATAAAGAAACTGGTTATGTGCAGTGTGGAGGGGCCAACCCCTGTGTGCCAGAGTTCAGAGGAATCTCATGGATTCCTAGGCAGTACACACACT